TGATAATAATATCGATTATTTTTTTTAAATTTTTATATTATCTTCAAATTTATATATTATTTAAAAATAAAAACATTTTCTTTTTCTCAAAACACATAAAATCATATTATAACATCAATAGACCCAAAATATAAAGCAAAACATTAAAATCAAGATGAATTACGCTGCATTGTGTGAGTACCCTTCTAATTATACATAATACATAATAGGTTAGAGAGTGTTAGGCTATTAGTATTGAGTATTGGATGTAGATGGAAACAAAAAAGACTTTTCGGTTGGTGCTCTTGAAACTTTCATAAAGTTACATCACTACCACATCAGCATGGTAACCGGTTAATGTTTCAATCGGTTATCGAGGTACTTAAATGTTTAAAACTTTATATTTTAGGTACCAAAATGAAAGTTCTAAAAATACATTACCCAAAATAAGAATCAAGTTATATATTGTTGACTCTTGAGTCATTCAACACTTCATGTACCCTACTCAAAGAAACTAGTCATAGACTCATAGTCAAGTACTAGTCGACGAAGCTAGATATTGTTTTTTTTCTATATAAAGCTTATTGTTTGATCATTGATGTACAATGTAGTTAAATAGATTGATTATGTTATGTCGTTTTTAAACATTGTTAACAAATCTAACAGTGTCTAAGAAAAAAAATGAATTCTTATTTGGCTAACCCAATTACGAATCGAATAAACCGAATAACCCGAACCAACTAAACCGAACCTTATTCGGTTTGGTTATCAGTTAACTAAAAAAAGTTGAAAAACCAAATCAACCGAATAACACTCGCAGATGGAGATGAATAGATCAACAAGAGTGTTTGCCGGAGTGGTCCTGTCCTATTGGTAGTCTAGATTTTTATATTTTCTATTATATTAATTTATTATATATTATTTACAAATTAGTTCATATTAGATTTTTATATTTTCTATTATATTAATTTATTATATATTATTTACAAATTAGTTCATATTAGATTTTTATATTTTCTATTATATTAATTTATTATATATTATTTACAAATTAGTTCATATTAGATTTTTATATTTTCTATTATACAATTAATAATTTTATAGTATATAATATATATAATATATTTTTTTAAATTCCAATAGGAAAGAGGTAAAATGACCAAACATACCCTTCATTTAACTTGATTTAACGGAAAAAGTTAATGTTGATCAAACTGATGGACCCAAAGGCCCAACCCAAATCAGTATCAGTGTTTTATATGTAGCCCTGTTTCTCAAAATTAAGGCCCACCTAGAGCCATATTTAAATCGTCCAGATCAGACTCACCACGAACTCGTTCCACAGACCATTTGTTGAATGCTTCTGTTATGTGTTGAATGCTTGATTAGTTCTTCTGTCATCTGTTACTGAGCGGAAAGCTTGAAACTAATAAGTTTGAGATTACGGTTCAGCATTCATACCACTTTTTGAAGGTAAAATTTAACTTCATTATTTTGTTTGGATAGCCTCTACTGGTACGAAATTTCGATCAAAACTCACAAGTATTATTAATCTCCATGTTTTTTTTTTCTAATCTATTTGACGTGGATGTTGCCAATTTGAATCGTTTAGTCGCTACACATTGTAAGTGTGATGATTTGGGGAGTGCCTAAAAGATGTTCGATGAAATGTCTGAGAGAAATGGAGTTGCATATTGCACTCTTCTACCATCACTTGGGCAAAACTTGTAAATATATGTTCTTTTTATGGGTATCCAACACCATACATAAAAAAATCTCAATGTTAGGGGATTTTACAGGAGTATCAGTGAAATGTTTAGTATATTGAACAAAAATATCAATTTTAGACATTAAAACAGTATCTCTTTATATGATATAATACATCTTACAAAATGTGCAACTATACCATGTTCTAACAGGTAACAGTAAATTTGTTGAGGTATAAGCTGTTTCAAGGTTATCGGAGTATATGTGATTCTCGCTCCTTCACACAATATGACTTCAAAGTTACCTCTTTGTAGTGTTGTCCTAAAAGGTTATCTTGTTTTTTAGAAGGGTGTCATGGGCTATGCCCATACTAAATTGTGACTGTAAGAATTCAGCATAAACACAGTGGCCAGAATTATTGTAGAACTATTGTGGACGCCTGGAGTTGAACCCACGGCAGATGGGACATTCCATGCCCCCGGGGCCACAACCACTACGCCACAACCCTCGTGGTTAAGATTGTCGTGTTCTTGTAGGGCTGAATAGGGTTGTTTGTAATTGACGAGTATACATAATAACATTTGAGAGGCTTTGTTCTTCTTTTGGTGAGGTTTGTACTCTACGTACTCTTTTGCTTCATTCTCTGTAAAAAGATTACCCTATTGATCTTATTTGAAGTCCCTGCGCCCAAACATTATTTGAATTCCCTGTTTCAAATGATTTTTGAAGCTCTATGAAAATTGAAGGGAAAAATGAAGATGTTCCAGTCCTGGATTTGGTTGGATGTAAGGAGAAAAAATTCAAAAAAGTTAAAGAATCTGTAGTTGTTGATCAACAAATCATTCTGGGTTTTAGCTATATCTAAATGTGATTGCATTTGGTTCAGAAAAAAAATATCCAAAAGATTAAATGATTGCATCTTATAACATCTAAAATGGAGTTCGAAACTGGAGCCATCTATGACAACTTTTTAACCCCATTCCTGATTGTCTACAATATCGAAGGAGTACTTTTGATCTTCCATTGTTCTATATCGACCTCAAATCACGATGGATTATTTAAAAGGCTTTGATTTAGAAATAAATTGAAATCAGACCGGTGGATCAATCAAAAGCCTTTGATTTAAGCCATTCCTCTTTAATAAATATATGAATATGTGATTGGCAGATTACCAAGCCCATCCCCTTCCCCTCATTGTGTTCACCATCCTAGAGATGTTCAGTAATCTTTGTATTCTCATTTTTATATGTTTCAAACGTTATATTATGATGTGAGAATTATTTGTAACTTTTTGTATAATTCGATCTTTGCAAATACTCGGTTACTTGTATTTACGAAAGTTGTTCCGTTCTGTAACCAATTGATTCAACAAGTCTATTCGGTAAATCCTACATTTACGATTCACAAAATCACTTGTAATGATTCCCGTGGGCGCTTGATCATTATACAGTGATATCTTTCAACGTCAGTGCAGAAATTTGGTGTTACACTTTCTCAGAACTCACGAACGTTGTCTGCCATGGCCAYCATAGCTACTTCCGTTCTTTCTCTKTCTTCCCTACATACAACGCTTCAAGCTCATAGACCCACCCTTCTTCCATGCCCTAATTTCACTCCATCCCACTTAACCCTCAAATTCCCCAGGTATGTCTTCGAATCCTACTCTTTGTTTCTATTTGATTCCTAGGTTTTTCTGTTTTCATACAATCGCTCTTCCAAGTAAGTGTGTGTGGGTTTGATTACTGATTACATGTTAATTTGCAGATTGGGGATTTCTCATACAAAAAGAAAGGCATCAAAACAGATGTTCCCTGTTGTGATTTCTTGCTTGGTTGAAGATAATTCGGAAGCGTATCAAGAACCAGAAGGATCCTCTGGTTCTAATGAACCAACTCCTGTACGTATATTGTCTTTATCGTTTACAATGGAATTTACCCCCTCACTTCTGCAACTATATTCCACTTCCCGTAAAACGAATGATGAATTGGGTCTCTAATTTCGGAAGGTGAAACTGTGGAACAGATATAGTGTAAAATTTTGCAAATAATGAGTCCTTACTGTTAATTTTGTGTTATACTACTACTATATCGAGAGTAGGTTTGATTTTGTATGACTTATAGTGGGTTTTTGGGTTTATAATCAATGCAAAGTTCATGTAAATTGTAATTTGCTGCTTTACTAGTATGCTAATTGAACACCGTTTCATTTCTTGCCCCATATTATGTGGAATTGGGGAATAATTTCAAGATAGTGGAATGCATACGTTTATAATGACGGTTGAAGAATCAAAAGAATAAGGATGCCAAGTACTGTTTGGTCATTTAACCAATTGTCTGAAAACTTTAATTCCATGGAACTAGATACAAATTTATAAGTTTCAAAGTCCATGGCCAGTCACAGAAATCATTAGTGATTTATTTTGGAATTCTACTCCAATTTGACTTCCTTTATTTTTGTTATAGATTAGTACCTGATAATTGATTGTTAAGAATGTAAACCATGTTTTATGTAAGTTCATATCTTCAAGCTTTACTCCATCTTTCGTGTCATTAGGGAGAAATCAAACACAAGAAAGATTCATTTTCTGAAAATAGGAGGAGAAAATAACATCGAAACCAGAAAAACAGAAGACATAAAAAGATTCCATTTTCGGCTACAAAGATGTGTAATGATACTACTTCACTAAAGCGGTTTTTTCTTTGACCATGCAAATCTGCAGGGGGCAACTATTGACCTCAAACTCCCAAGGAGAAGCTTGTTAGTGCATTTTACCTGCAATGCTTGTGGTGAAAGATCACAAAAGCTCATAAACAGATTAGCTTATGAAAAAGGGACGGTTTTTGTACAGGTATTTTGTTTCTATCTTTACTATAAGGTTATGCTGTCAACAAATTTGCTAGATTTGAACTGATGATTGACATCACGAAATTGAATGTTAACCATCTTTAGAATTGTCTGTTTGATCGTAAACTGTGGATACTGCTATATGCTTATGTTTTCTATATAATGTATCCAATCTGAACCTTGTTAACTGTCTATTTTAGTCTCAAATGAGCCTGAAGTTTCATTTATTGATGATGAATTCAATGAAAAACTGTTATTTTTATTCAGTGTACAGGATGTTCGAAGTATCACAAACTTGTTGACAATCTGAGTCTTGTGGTTGAGTACGACTTCCGGGAAGAAACCGATATGAGCTCCGATACAGATCAAGTTTGATGCACCACTCTCTTTATTTTGTAAATTTTGTCGAATTGTGCCAGTTTAGATACATTTTCAAGAAATCTTGAATCATATAGCTTTCGGAAAATGTACACAACTGGGTCAATTGAACAAAAACGTATGAGATTTGAAAACTCGAGTTGTTTCTCCTATCTTTTTACTCTGCCACCACATCCTCTGCTGCTCTGCCACCAGCCACCACCGCCGTGATCTCAATTACATTTTTAGTTTTTGATTCAGATTTTAAGGTTTTCTAGAGAATCTCATTTTGATTTTAGAGCATGCTTTTTGTATTTTGAATGTCTAGTGAATGTACATGGAGTTGTATATCTTTATAAATCATAGTGAATTTACATGGATTTGTTGTATATGTTTATAACTCTGTTTTGAATTTGAATTTGGTGAATATTCTTGATGTTCTGGTTTATTGGTTTGAAGAATAAAGAGATGGATGAGGAAGAAAACCCCTATAGAAATAGAGGAAAAAGCAAAAAGACTAAAATGCCCTCATGGCTGGAGGGGCCAAAACCAGATTTAAACACAAACCACAAGAAAATGAAATGAACGAAGTCGAGCAGAGGAAAACTAGAGTTTCAGCAAAATCTCTAAAATTGGTTTTTTCCCACATTGCTTCTCCCTTATTCTTCAAAAAGAGGTAATTTTCGAGTTAAAATATGAAATCAAAGTTAACAATAACCATAAAATTCTACATCAACACAAGTCGAGTCCCTCGATCACATGTACCATTAATACCGTTTTGAATCATCCAAATTCTAAACAATAAAACATGCATATTAAACCAAAATGATGCTAAAAAGAGACTAAATGTAACACCCTAGTTTCTTTATTTGCTAAATCTTAATGTTTAAACCTTAAATACAAGATTTTATAAGAAATTAAGTACTTTTAAAGAGTCCAGCACCTGTAGCATTTATTAAACTATCACATTTATAAGGCAAGTAGCTTACAAGGAAAACCATGATAAATCATTAAATCAAGCCTAAGGTGATGAGTTGTATAGGCTCGAAGTATGTTGGCAAGCTATGTGATGACTAAGCAAGTCTAGTAAGCATGATTAAGCAAGTCTAGTAAGCATGACTAAGCAAGTTAGTAATGAATTGTAAAGGCTAAAAGCATGACTTGGCAAGATTATTTGATTACAAGGCAAATCTATGAAGCATGACAAGGAAATACTAGGGTTTAGGAGCATGAGATGTCAAGATTTTCTTCCTACAAACATGAGGTGTCAAAATTCTCTTATCCTCAAGTAGGAGGTGTAAGACTCTCATAAATGAGCAAAAAAAACATGTAGCTAATGAATTTACCTATAAATTGGGGTTGAAATGTTACTATTAGCTCCATACCATAAATAAGAAATCTCTCTCTTTATACATAATCAAGCTTGAAGAAAGGAATTAAGGGAAAAGCTAGGCATAATGAAGGTGAGTACTTATGAGATTTATGAGGTACATACATGCTATATAAAAGTATTTTGTGCATTACAAGGTATTTTTCCATGATTGTTTTACATGAAAATGTTATACATTCATATATATATTCAAGATATGCATGATGACATGTTTTAATACAAATATGTATTTTACACAAAAGCATGAAAATGTTTACATGTTATGATACAAGTATTACACTAAGGCATGAAAGCTTTTACATGTTATGTATGACCATAAATATCCAACGTACGAGATATTACAAGAAGGGACGTCTTGCAAACGGACCTTATGAAGTAGCCTTTATGGACTCGGGAGTTAGCAAACCTCAAGACAAGTATAGCATACTTACATGTTTCAAGTGAGATCTCAAAAGAATGTTTATACATGATAAAAAGATTATTTTTGTACATGATCAAGAGTTTTAATGAATTACTATTCACAAAATGTTAAGCATCATATAAAATTGTTTGTTCATGAAACCATAACTACTCACTAAGCTTTTTAGCTTATATATCTAATGTATGTATCTCAGGAAAGGAATAAAGAAGATTTGCATGAAGTAGTATTTTTCTAATCAATAGCAAGTTATGTTGTATTATAAGCTATTGAGTTACGTTTCGGCTAGTATTTTATCTTTGATGTAATTTATAAGCTATGCTATAAATAACGTTAAATTTCAAGCTTACATTCAAGACTTGGTAGTTTTAATTATAAAGTAACGGCACCCGATTTATAGAAATTTCGGGCGTTATAGTAAAGAAAGACTAATCAGGAACAAGTATCTGATCTATAAACAGAACATGATGCTGAAGGCATCATGCATCTTACTGAACAACTTTGAATGATGATGATGTGTAATGGGAAGACATGAAGATGGTGGTGGTGGAGTTGCTGGTTCAGCTTCAGTTTTCTTGGCTTTCTTCTTTCTTCTTAACTGGAAAAACTGCTGCATAACCTCTGCACATTCTGACGATAATACCCCTCTTCTCACCGTCATGTTTGGGTGGAAAGGATGAACAGGGGCAGCCGGCTTATCCGACCCACTTCCTCCATCTCCATCAGGAAACAGTCTGCAGAATTGACCAAGTGAAATTTCTAACTTGAAATCTTGATCATTTCTAAAGTCCATTTGACTTGCAAGTGTACCAAGTTATCGTCTTTAACTCAAATACTCTTTATCATAATCCCTTTGTCCACAGCGAGGCATACAGTTTTTGGAATGTGTAATTAGTAAAATTTTACTCGACTAAGTGACAAGTCTACTCTTAATAATAGAAGTAATGAATTTATTCATCTCGTGATCAAGGATAGAAATGGAAGGTAGACATTTACTTTTGAAAACAGACACTTATTTTGGAGAAAACTAAAATAGAAAGGTGGACACTATTTTGGAACGGATAGATTTGCATCTTTCTGCTTTTGGAATTTGTATACGCACTCAAAAGACATTCATACCTGATCCAGCTACCATCGGCTCCAAGTAGCTTATTGGGAGCTCCCCATACAACTGTGTCAATCCGGGCTTGAAGTATCGCTCCAGCACACATAGCACATGGTTCAAGTGTAACATAAAGTGTTGTACCCTGAAAGAAAAACAAACGAACAAGGAAAAAGAACCCAAAGATATCATCGCTGAGCTTTGAAAAACATAATATATAAGTCATCTAGCATCCACAATTCATAGAAATGCAAATTGTCTATTCATTTTTGCAGTATTAAAGGGATAATATATCATAATCTTGCAAAATCTTGCAACTTCAACATTTGCAAGTTTTTTTTGGGGGGGGGGGGTAAAGTTTACCGAAAGTCTCCATGATCGTAGGTTGTTGGATGCCTCACGTATACAAATCATTTCAGCATGGGCAGTGGAATCACGTAACTCTTCTACCCTAAGAAATTCAAAGTTTATCATATGAGCGAATAATAAGTACTAAAACACTTAAAAGTATGATGAAATTGAAGAAACTTACAGGTTATATCCACGAGCAATTATTTTACCATCCTGCACAAGAACAGCCCCAACAGGGACCTCCCAGAAATCAGCAGCCTTTTTAGCCTCCAACAATGCTTCCCTCATAAAAAGTTCATCGTTTTTACGTTGCTTGGTTTCAACGGTATAAGCCTCTTCCCATTCATCAAATCTATCTTTGGAGACTTGATCTATCCGGGCAAGTTTCCTTCGTTTTAGTTCTTCATCCTTGGAATGATCCACTATTACCATTTTGCCACTGCCAGATGCATCAGCTGGTGGCATTTCAGTCATTTTGGGAACTGGTTGCTCTGTTTTCACCATTTCTCCACTGCCATATGCATCAGTTTCATCAGTCACTGAAGTTCTCTTTACAACAGGTGACCTTCTCATGCGAATCACGGATGGAGACATGTGTTTAGATGAAGATCCCTGATTAGCATTTGATGATGACGATGATAATAATGGTGAATCTTTGGAGCTCGAAGGGTTGGACACTTCTTTTTTACTTTGAGATCGACCTTTCGCACTTCCTGTTTTCACGTTATCATCATTCGATTCTTCCGGTTCATGACCAGAAAACCATGCTTCACTACTGGTAGACTGATTGGATGAAGCCTTTCCACCACCTGATTTTGAAGTATGTGTTTCAGAACGTGGGGCCACCCACCGCAGTCGAACCACATCTCCAATAACATTCCACAACGACCTACCACTCTTTTTGACCGATTCACCATTTCCAGTTGAAGAAGTATTTTCAGGTGCATCTGTTTCGGAAGGCTGCTGAACGGATGTACCAGTTTCATGCCACATCTCATCAGAAGGTCCCCTACCTCCATCCTTTTGATCAGAATTTCCCGACCCATCTTCACCTGGAGTCTTTAGTTCATGTTGCTCAGCATCTTCATACACAAATTCATCTTCATGGGTTTTCTTCTCCTGTAGAACTTCTGAAGTAGAAAGCTCATGTTTTGCCTTCTTAACAAATTCGCCCACAAAATGGCTCGAGGATTTCTGTTGTTGATCAGCTGAAGAAATAGCATCTTCATGGGAGATGAAGCTTGAAGGATCCATAACAGAATCACCACCTATATCCCCACCTAAAATCTCAGACTGCTGGACTCTGGAACCCTTCGGTGGTTGCTCCTGGAGTTCATCAGTGATGGTTTCAAAACGTTGAGATGAATGCTCGTGGGTCAGTTTCGAAATCTCAGAGCTACTTTTACCAGCACCATGAGCACCAGTTTCTTGTAAATTTGGTTCAGGGTTCAATTTCAAAGCTTTGTAGGTACTAGATGTCTCCTTCGGCATGCCAACATGAAAACTTGAAGCCTTAGTTGTTCTCCTACCAGTTCTTGTAGATGAGGTCACGTTCTCTGCTGAACTTGAAGTATCTAAATGCAGTTCTTGTTTTTTATTTCTGATGTCAGATTGTTGACTTGAAACTCTAGTGTTTTCGGTAGTAGCGATATGGGTATCTGAAATTCCTGAAATTTGTAGTGATTGCACTCCAGAGTCTTTTAATGTAGTCAATTGGTCCATCCTCTGGAGTTTTTCTTCTCTTCGATCTTCGACTTGACCACTAACTTCTGTAGAATTTTCTTCCCAGTTCTTTATTCTAGCCTCATGTGATGAACCTGAAGTCTCCAAATGCAGTTCTTGTTTTTCCCTTTTGATGTCAGATTGTCTACTTGAAACTCTACTGTTTTTGGTATTAGTGACACGGGTATCTGAAGTTTCTGAAATTTGTTGCGATTTCACTCTAGAGTCTCTTAATGTAGTCAACTGGTCCAATCTTTCGAGTTTTTCTTCTCTTCGATCTTCAACCTGACCACTAACTTCTGTTGAACTTTCTTCCCCATTCTTCATTCTAGCCTCATGTGATGAACTTGAAGTCTCCATATGCAATTCTTGTTTTTGCCTTCTGATGTCAGATTGTTGACTTGAAACTCTAGTGTTTTTGGTATTGGTGATATGGGTATCTGAAATTTGTTGTGATTTCACTCTAGCGTCTTTTAATGTAGTCAACTGGTCCATTCTCTCGAATTTTTCTTCTCTTCGATCTTCAATCTGACCACTAACTTCTGTTACATTTTCCTTCCTGTTCTTCATTCTAGCTTCAAGTGTTGAAGAAGAAGAGGACTCTCTCATGTTAATTTTGTGAATTCCTGATGATTCTGAAATCACATTTGACTGCCTTCTGTACTCATCTTGACGACTAACATTCTCAGCAGTTTCCCCTCTATGTTCGCCTGCTAGCTCCTGAACTGATGTATTCAAATTGTTTTCAGTATCGCTGTATTGCTTTTCCATCAGTCCCGTATACTTCATTCTTGATTGAGATGGATTGGTCACGGTTTCAGCTTTTTTGCTATGTTGTTGACTATTTCGTTCAGTATTCACAGAAACATGTGACTGGTGTTGACTAGACTCTATGTTAAGCTTCTTTTCAGATTTCTTTCGCCATTCTTCATTCCCATAATACTTTAATGCAGTATTTTTCTTCAAGATTTCGCTTTCTTCTTTACCAAACTCCTGCCGCCTGTCGACATTTTCCTCAATTTCCTCATCATAACTTCTATAATCATCCCTTTTCCGATCATCTTTATACTCATTCGAAGACTCCCCTCTAACGAAACAACCATCATGTTTTACTTCAACATCATTTTCACTCTCAAACTCACCTGTAGACGAAACAGAGTAATAAGACGAGCTACTCGACCCTTCTTTCTTTCGTTCACGATTCACCCCTTTTATAGAGGTTCCCCTCTCTTCTTCCTTTCTCTCATTGCTTAGTCTCCTATCTTCTTCCTTTCTAGACCGAACTTCTACAACTTTATTATCACACTTCAAATCCCTCTTTACAGAACCCACAACTTTCGTTTTACTTGTGGCAAAACGAGGATCCTTCTTCTCGATCCTTTTTTGCTCTCTAACACCAAGATACTCCAACCCCGCCTCCTCAGTCAACAAATCAAGCAAAATTTCAACATCATCCACATGATCATCATCAATTTCATTACTAAAGAACTGTTCTTTCCTCTTATCTTCAAGAGCCCAACACCCATACCTACCCTTCCGCAACCCACCCTGTTTCCCCCTCTTGAAAGATTGGAGTTTTTCATAGTAATTATTTCGATCAGAATCTGTAAGCGAAGAAAACGCAGAATTACCGTTACAAGATTGTCTCCTCCTACCATGAAAGATCAATCTTTTACTAGGTGAAAACTGAATCAAGGTGGATTGCCTTAACCCATTGCACAAAAAGCTAGGGTAAATTCTGGGTAAACTACTATAAATTGAATTAGTATTACTATTAGCACAACAGCAGCAGCAACTACAACAACAACAAGAAGCGAATGATGTTGAAAAGAGTAACGGGTTTGTTTCGAATCTAGCATCCAAGAAGCAAGTAGGAACATCGAATCGGGAACTCCTACACCTAAGTGATACAGATGAGTTCAAACAGGTGGTGTGCATCATCTTCAGATGATTCTACAGTGTGTTTCAGAGGCCAAAGGAGATTGTTACCTTGATGTTTAGAAGTCAGTTCTGTTTGAATTTAGTGAAGCTGGAATGGCCATCTGGGAGTGGGATAAGAACGATAGATCAGATGGAAGTGACCATCTTTGAAAATGGAAGAATTGGGAAAGCTTAAAGGATCCCATGTAACAAGAAAACCACGTTTTAACCACACTGGTTTTTGAAATTTACAATGTGACCATGGGAGTTTTAAATTCATCATTTTGACCACTAAATTCAGGCACCATCTCTCCATCATGGAACTATGTGCTCTTAATTTTATTTTATTTTCAAATTTATGGTATAATAAAATTGACCTTTTATAACACCATTAACTTATTATTTGTTAAAAGAATGTGAAATGTTGATTTTTTTTTACTTTATAATTTTAAACTAAGGGGTCGTTTACTAAACGCTTATCTGGTAAGTACTTACCGGGTAATTTTCCTTATCGGATGAACAATGCAAGGGCCAAAAATCTTACCCGGTAAGAACGATGATAAGGATAAAGAGTCTTACCCGGTAAGTGAGGGTGACGACTCTTACCCAGATAAGCACTTACCAGGTAAATTGTTGCATAAGATACGTTTTGATGTACTACAATCTTACCCAATAAAATAAATTATAGTGTTGACTTCTAACGTTAAACACTTACCGGGTAAACATTTAGGTAAACGGCCCCTAATAGTCATTCTTTTGAAGTGTAAAGTATCCAAGATTGATGAGAACCAATTGTTGAAAGAAGTAGTGAAATCATGTTCTTTGTAATTGAGTTTGTTGGCATTTTGTGCAGACATTTGTCACTGGGTGCGTTTGGTATATGGGACGGGACTGGACAAGACGAGATAAAACATATTGTTCCATGTTTAGTGCAGCATAAGACAGAACAAGAATTCATTGTTTCACGTTTGGCATGACATGAGACAGGTAAAAGAACTAGGACAAGATGGGACAGCATGAGACAAAAGAGGCTTTTTCTTATTCCACCAAAATAGGTAGAACAAGATGGGACAAGAATGAGAGAGAAACTAAAATATTATTAATCTACCCTAGTTTGATATATAACCGTATTATAGTATTTGTTTTAATGGTCATTACCGCTAGTTTCGGTCGATGCCACCAACAGTGGTCACCAGCGACCACCTATACATCCACCTCTTCTTCCACTACAACGACAACATCCTCTACCGCCTCCACAACCACCTTCCACCATCGTCCATCGCCACCTCTACCATAGTCAACCACCGACCACCACCGTCCATTGCCACCACCACTACAGTCCTTCGCCACCTCCAACTCCTCATCTACAACAACAACCTCCTTCACCACCTCTAACTCCTCCTCTACAACAACAACAACCTCCTTCACCACCTCCACAACCACCGTCGACCACCAATTACCACCTTTACAACCACCGTCGACCACCAATTACCACCGTCTATTGCCACCTTTACAACCACCATCGGCCATCAACCACCCATTACCACCAACACTACCACCGTTGGCCATCTCTAACTCCTCCTATACCGCAATAATCTCCTCATGACCTCAACAATCACCATCGACCACCGACCACCATTGTCCATTGCCACCTCTACAACCACCACCATTCATTGCCACCACCACTACCACCATCGGCCATCTCCAACTCCTCCTCTCTGCAACAACCTCCTCCACAACCACCGTCGACCATTGACCACCATCGTCCATTGTCACCTCACCTCCACCATAACCACCACTATTTTCACTACATCAGCCACAACTAACTACTCCATCATTGTCAACTGTCAGCACCACCACAATCCACCATCTTCACGTCCTCTATAAACCACCGTCGTCCACTAACCACTACTGCCTCTACCTCCATAACCACCGTTGGCCACCAACAACCACCGTCCATCGCCACTACTACCATCGGCAACCACCATCTCCACCATAATCAAAACCACCTCAACCACCACTACTACTACTACCATCAATTATATCAAATTTTTTATTCAAATTTGGTACCATTATATATGTATGTATTCATTTATATGAAAATTGTGTAAAAGTATTTATAAATAAAATTCTTTAACAATTTACTTTATTTGTTAATTATAATTATTATATAATATTTAAAATCATTAAATAACTTTTGGGTGTAACTTGTCATAGTCGTATTAAACATCATCATAGACTTGTTATGTTCAATCCATTCATGTCCAATTATGTTCTATAATGCTAGTCCTGTTGGACTGCTACTAATTAATTTTGCTTGCAATTAAAACTTTTAATTTCGTGGTTGAAGGAACCCTGATTTATTAAACCCTCCGATTACTACAACTACTTTGTTAAAATTTGCACCCTCTGGAAACCCTCCACTTAGATTTTGACTTTCGATACATTAGTAATCGGTGTATGTTCTACTGATTGGGTTTCATTGTTGTGTTCTCTTGTGAAATTTTGTTATGGGAAATTTTGATTGTCCGCATATATATATGCACTAGCTATGGTGCTGTCATAGGTGGGATTTGGATGATCTTTTTGCCTGTATTATTTTGATTTTAGATAGCAAATGCTAGACTAAAATGGCTTAATTAAATCTAGTATCCCATAGAATTTAACAGCTGAAAGATCATTAGTACTCTTGAAATTAAAGTGGCTTAATTAACAAGTAGCTAGGATTTCTATGTATGGCTCTAGCCTCTACTCTAGTAAGTAATTGGGTTTCAAGTTGATATCTAAAATTGCCTTGGAATTGCTCACTTTCTATACTTAAATGTAGTCAAGTAGTCAAATTTATAGCTGAAGATAGAATCCAAGTCTGAGAGCTCCAAGCCATGAAAATGTTTTGTCCAAACAGTCTATTTGCTTTATATATATATATATATATATATATATCTTCTTGACAACACCGAACCTATTTGGTTTGTTAAGTTGTCTTCTTGATGAAAGATTCTATTTGCTTAATCTTCATTATGGTTCGTTGTATTATATTGTTCACTACGTCGAAGTTGGTGTTAATTATCGTTTCATAGATTGATTGAAAAATCACTAATTTAATCTTATGAATGGCTCAAATGTTGCATATTTGATTCAACTTCTTCTAAAGTAATCTATCTATCTATCTATCTATCTATCTATCTATCTATGATGTGTTAACGTAATACTGATAACTAGCAACGTACAGTAAAAGCATGGGAAATAAATACATACGTTGGACATCTAATGATAGTATTTTGTGGATGTATATAGATATGCAATTATGTATTCTAGATTTGGTGATTTAAAATAAAATAAAAACCAATGTTGTCACTCTATATATCATAGTTTATTCTATCCTTGATTCTTTTTTTAATTAGCATGCCATATTGTCGAAGATTTGGAACCTCCCTTTGTTGACCTATATAAACAATATTGGAATGATGGCTTTTAAAACAAATACCCATGTTCCACACTTGCATGTTTATTTACAAAAAGAAAATCGTAACAGACATTATAATATTATGTGGGTCATGTTAGATTTTGGAAACAGATATCAAACTAATTGGATAATTCTAGCATCGTATATAAAACACTATTCAAAATCTGTCATTTTGACTTTGTTTGGGGTATCATGAAATCAGACTTGGGATAATCCAAAAACAACCACCGCCAGGGGCTCTGCCCCTTGAAACCCCACAAGGGGCGTTACCTCCGGACTTTTGCGTTCCCGAGATCAACTTAACTTATCCGAGTGTGCATTTCGCACCTCCGGACTTGAATTATAGCCAAGTCTAATTTCGGCTTGTCTCGTATTAATCCCGATCATACTAAATGGATTGATGACACTAAAATCACCAAGAGACCATCGGATGCTTCTTAAGTTTAAAACTAACATGACGGTTTAATTGGTTAACAGGAATCGCGAATAATTAAAGGGGGATGGCCAAAAACCTTACCTATATTCTCTACATATATATATATATATATGTGTGTATATATATATAGGGGGGTGTGTGTGTGTATATATCCCTCTTGATTCTCATTCACTTGATTCATCTTGCAATTAACAAACATGTCGAACTACATAATATCCTTTCTTACCCTTTTGAAATGGGGTCTTGATTTCTTGATCGACCATTTGTTTTTCCACCACCGTATGCTCCATCTGCAGGAAGCCTGTGATGGGCTCGGAAGGAAGTGGTGGCGAAAGCCTGCAAATGATGAAGAGGTGGAATGTGCAGTTTGCCTGAGCAAGATCGAGGATGATGATGAAACTAGAGAGTTGAGATGTGATCATTTGTTTCACAAGAACTGCTTAGATAGTTGGCTTGCACATAGGCATACAACATGCCCATTGTGCCGTGATAATTTGGTGGTGCCGCTGCCGCTGCCGCTGCCGCTGCCGCCTAAGATTAACCCCTATTGTCAAATTCAAAACTGGGTTGTTGTTTTATGAGCGATTTAGTTGTTATATGATTGTGGTATTCTTTGATTTTATCATATATACTACAAGTGATATAATGATTATGTTATATGCACATGCTCAAACAAAACGATAAAAATCCAGATGATTATCACCCAGAATGAATGTACTGAAAACTGTTACATCAAAGCTTTCTGTTTCATGGACTTGTTGATATGAAGTTTGGTGGACATAATTTCCATGAAATATGTTTCATACACATATTGTTCATTAATGAAGCATGCATGTAAACATAATGGATATGTTTGAAACAGTGCTTCATGAATGAGTTTTGAAACAGTGCTTCATAATGGTCTTAATCGGATAGTTGTAAATAGCCCCAGGGATATGGAAAAGAATTGACGGGGACCTGCACAAGCGGTGGAGTATGTGGTTTAATTCGATACAACGCGCAAAACTTTGAGTTTTTTGCAAAAATGGGTTGGTTTTGAAAAAGGTCTGTAGAAATAGGTTAGTTTTAGTTTTATTGGTAGAAATAGGTTAGTTTGTGTGGGACCCACTCATTTTAAAAAATATGATTTTGTAAATTTACAATTTTTACCCTCCAACTTACATTTTCATTTTTATTTATATCCTTTATTTTGTAAAATTTTATATTTAACCCTTATTATATATTATGTATTAATTTATTTAATTAAAATATATATATTAAAATTTACGTATTATTTTTAAATTTACGTAATTTACGTATTATTATCAATTTGGTTGGAGTCGGATTGAAAAATTGAA